ATTTCCTTCCAAGACCAGCCACTCCGATGACTTAGCTACCCCCTCTCTCCTCAGGCTGGTGGTCAGGAAAGGGGCACTGACTCCCCCAGTCCCTGAATTGTGAGCCAGACCGCCTTCTCACGGCCAGCCTTGCCCCTTAGATACCAAACGGAAGGGCAGTGAGCTTGTGGGATGCTCCAGTGGGCAGGAGGGACAGGTGAGGCTTTGAGCTGCTATGATTGCTTTTCTAGACATGCAGTTGTGCCTCCAAGGCTGCGGTTGGGCCTGTTGGGAGCAGGGCTTGGGGACAGTAGATAAAACACATCGGCCTTGAGAGAGTGGGCAGTTGAGATGAGGTGTTGATGAAACACCTCCATCCCAGAGCAGTTGGCTGCTCCCCAGGCTCTAGAGCCAAACCCAACCCAAGATCAGGTCATCTCCGCAGGGAACCATGATGAGGCATGGGGTGAACTGTAGTCTAGTCCTTGATCCTCCACTGCCTCACCTGTGGCACACTGGGAATGGAACTTAGGATTCAACAAAAACATTTGCTCAAGGACCTGGAAGGAGTGAGGGCTCAAAAACATCCCAGCTTTGGGGCTGGGAATGTAGCTCCGTGGGTAGAGAGTTCTTGCCTAGCATGCACAAAGCCTGGGTTCAGACCCCAGCACTTGGAAGGTGGATCAGAAATTCAAGGTCATTCTCAGCTATACAACAAGTTTAAAACCAGCTTGGGTTCCAGGAGACCCTGTCTGAAAGGCTTTTAAAACCCTAGCCATGATTACTCTGAATGTATCCCACGTGTACTAAAATGCTCATTCCCCCCCGAACCCCCTCATTTGGATTACCCCAGGACTGTATCAGCTATGATAAGAAAGCCTCCAATTAGCAAACTGGCTAGTTGTTTTGTTTGTTTGTTTCTGAGCTGGTGATAATGGACCTCTTGTAGTTGATGACAGCTTTGATTTTTGTGGAATAAGGTGTTAAGCCCCCTCCCATTACTGAAAAGGTAGCTCCCCTGTCCCATACCGCACTCACAGCTCTGTGTCCTCCAGGGCCGGTGGGCGCTCCAGCGCCTGCCTGCGCCTCCTCACGGCCCCCAGAATCTTCTTCCGAGGCCCCAGGGGCACGCTGATACTGCGGAGGTCGAGGTCTGAGCACAGCATCAGGGCCTCCAGGTCAATCTTCTCCTGCCGCAGGAGGGAGGCAAAGTCCTCCAAATACAAGGAAGCCAGGAAGGTCTCCAAGGGGCTGGTCTCAGGCTCCAAGTCCTCATCCAAGCCCAAATCTAGCTCATCCCAGGGTAACTCCTCCCCACAGCTGCGGTCCTGCAAGCTGTTGGCACTGCCCAGGCTGTCATCGTCCAGGCTGGGGGAACTCTGCAGCCGACCCCGCGCTGTCCCTGGCCCGTCCAAGCCCCCGTCCTCGTGGCCCAGCCCGTGCAGCCCGCTGCTCAGATAGTTCCTTCGAAACACCATCGTCCCCAGACCGGGGCGAGTAAACAAGGAGTCGTGGCCTGAGTCGGTGCTGACCTCCGAGTGGGCAGGCTCGGCAGCCAGTGTGGCACGAGAGACGCTGTCCTCATCCGAGAGGAACATGTCCCTGAGTGGGGCACGGCCCCATTCTTTGGGGTTGGCGTAGGTGCCCTGGCGCACAAACATCACATCGCTGCCTAGCTGCAGGCCCGAGAGCGACCGGACGCTTTTGCGCCCGTCCTCAGAGACCTTGAAGGTGCCCTCGCCCCCCTGCTTGCGCCTCTCCAGCTTCTTCTGGATCTTGCCCTTGCCCTTGGCCGTGCCGTGCAGTGTGGCCTGCGAGTAGGGCAGCTGGCTGCCCAGCGTCAGGTGCTGCAGCCGGCGGCTCAGGGTACTGGACGTGAGACTGGAGAAGCTGAGCGTGTCGGAGCGCTCGGCCAGCTCTCGCCGGTAGCGCCGCTCCATGCGCTCGTGGTGCTTGCGCTGCATCTTGGCGCACTCGCGGATGCGCCGCTCTGCCTCGCGGAAGGCCTTGTCCTTCAGCTTGCCCACCAGCTTCGGGTTGAGGCTGCTCTGCTTGGCTGCGATGGAGTCCAGATAGCGCACGCACTCCATGTGGCCCTTCATAGCGGCCATGTCCAGTGGCGTGTGGTAGTCATTGTCCAGGCACCAGATGTTGGCCCCGAAGGACACGAGGAAGGACAGGCAGTGCAGGTGGCCATTGGAAGCTGCCAGATGCAAGGGTGTGTTTCCCCAGATGTCACACTTATCCGGATCACCCCTGAGAGGAAGGATGAGTCCTTTTAGCAAGTCAGACCGTGGGCTCAGGTTGGAGGTATAAGAAATCTGGGTTGGGGGGAACCAGAAAAAGAAAGGAAAACCCAGAGACATTGAGAGCATCCTGGGCCTGCAGCACAGCATCCCCTAAAGCAGAGGTTCTCAATCTATGGGTCGCGAACCCAATAGGGTCACATATCAGATATCCTGTATATCAGATATTTACATTACGGTTCATAACAGTAGCAAAATTACAGTTATGAAGTAGCAACGAAGTAATTTTATGGTTCAGGGGTCACCACAACACTGTATTAAGGGTCGCAGCATTAGGAAGGTTGAGAACCATTGACCTAAAGAAATCTATGGGGCTGAGCCCTAGACTCCGAGGAGATGAGCCAACAGATGTATCAGGACTGAGCACAGCACCGGGGTGTGGGAGTGTGGTGGATGGTCCAACCTACAAAGGGGCGGGGCTACCTAGGAGGCGGGGTGGGGCGGGCCTTCCTCTACAGAAGGGAGGGCTGGGAATCTCAGGGGATAAATATTTGATGCGCTGAAAGAAAAGAGTGAATTATTCATGGACCCTGCGGGGAGCTGGCCCAGAGAGGTGGTGGGCCAGGGCTGAGTCTGGGTCTCTAGGCGGGTGAGGTGGTTTGTGAAGCCACATGTTACAGGGTGATTGTGTGAGAGGACTAGAGTGTGGTGTGTGCTGGGCTTAAACCTGGAAGAGCGTGAGAGGGTGCGTGCTGGCATGCAGTGGGCACCACCATGTCTGCAGGGAGCAGGGCCAGGCCTGGCAACGCCAGTGTTAGAGCAGGTGTCGGGTCTTGGCCTGGGCCATTAGGGGACTGTGGGGACAGCCAGAACTGGAAAGGAAGAGGGCCTGAGACCTGACTGTACCGCTCTCCCTTGTTCAGGTTGCCCTTTGAAGCCGGTGGCCTGGTGCCCTCCAGCAACCCTCTGTAATGTCCTCCGGGTCTGACTCCCGCCCATAGCCCAGCTCCTGCTGGCTTCTCTGGGAATCTTGCCTCTCTCTCTCTCTGGTCCTAGCATAGGGCCCTGCTCCACACTAATGAGGCCACAAGGCCAGCCCAGAGCTGGGGAAAGAATCACTCCCTTGTCTCAACACCTCCCAGCACACCCCCACTTCAGCTTACCCCTCTGATTGCCAAGTCCATAGACCCTCCCTCATCAAGTACAAATCCTTGCCTCTGTAGAACTTGAGGGCTTTGGAGAGCCAAGGACAAGCCCTCTTTCCTTTACACCCCTGCATGAGACTCCCATGAGTCTCTCTGAGGATGCACAAGGGGATGGAACACTGTGTGCCCTGCTGGAGTCTTGGCCTCTAAGTGCTAACAGTCTAATCCCGACTGTTCCCACCTGCTGTTAGACCCAGGGACCTGTCAGAGGGAGAAAGAAACCCTTCACCCATGCATTCAGGCCCTCCAAATACCAGGGCCAGCACAACCCCTGCCCCTCCCCTTGACCCCTAGAGCCTGAGTCATTCACATGAGCCCTCTTGGGGCAGGCATCCTTTTCCTGTCCAGGCCACACCAGTATGGGGCCAGCCCTAGCAAATTGTTGATGTTAGGATTTTCAAGTAATGTGATTTAGTTCCCTTCCCCCAACTCACTTCAGTGACCCTGGATCCTTCATTGCTTGACCCCTCCAGGTGGACTCTGTGCCCACCCTCCCTCCACACACCATGGCTTCCCACTCCTAGGTCCTGCCGTGGGGGAGGGGTACAGAGAGCTCATCCCTGGCTGAACCAGTGACATTTGGTAGTGTGGACAGTGCCCATAAATCTCAGGAGTGGGGCGGTGAGAAGACGCAGGTCCGTGGGAGACTCGTCCTGTGGGAGCCATTGGTGCTGTGGGGACAGCCTTTTGACTCCCAGGTTGGGGAGTAGGCAGTGAAGGTCTCTCTTTCTGGCCCCCACTTGTAGGCCCTTGGAAACCAGGTTCCCACCTTCCCCTCATTCTTGCTTCCAGGTGCCCCCAACCCCCAACCCAGCAATGTCTTTGACCTTTGACTTACTCTGCAGCCCCCATCCCATAATCATAGACACCCCCTCATTTTAGTTCCTCTCCTCTAAGCCCTACATACAGTGCCCAAGTGTCACAAGCCTCAGCTGATCTCCCCTCCACGTGTGTCTCTCAAAGTGTGGCAGGCTGCACCACCTTAGAGGCTATCCATACGGAAGAGGGCACCTCAGGGGAAAGGAAGGGTAAGCAATGACACGAGGTTCGGGACACAGGGTTCTTAGGGTTGCCTGCTGGCTGGGGGCAGAGGGTATACTCACCCTCGGCTCACAATGAGACGCAGCGACTCCAGGTTGCCATGGTAGGCAGCCCAGAGGGTGGGGGTCATGCCATCTTCGTCGGGGGCATTCAGCTCCTTCCGGGTGGCCTCCTTGAGGAGTTCCAGGTAGCCATCCCTGGCGGCCCGGTGATACTGGTCATTCATGGCGGCCCGAGTTGGAAGGGTCGGGCAAAGGGCACTGAGAAATGGCCCCCGACGGGGAGGGCAGCCGGGTTAGGGCTGAAACATGGGTTTGAGGGAAGGGTCTGGGCAGGGGCCTGTGCCACCAGCCCCTGCTGCTGCAGATGGAGGATGCGGAGCGCCAGAGCCACGACTACAGACTACACAGGACATCTGAGCCGTGCACCAGGGGAGGGAGGGAGGGGGGAAATCTCTCACTGCTCAGGAGCCGCCCAGGAGCTTCCCCTGGGTCCTAAACGCCCTGCTTTTCAGCACACGGGTGACTCTAGTGAAGTCCAGCTCTCTCGTGCCAAAAGCGTCTACTCTGGCGTTGGGCCCCTTGAGGTTCAGTAGAGTGACATTTAGTATGTCTTCGACAGAGTTCCGGGTGCTGAACTCCCTGATTTCTTCACGCGTCAAAAGGAACGGGCCAAGGGTGGGAGAGTGGTGTCTGAGGGTGGGATGGAAAGGCAGTTCTGATCCGGAGGACGGTGGCCTAGAGGGTCGGGAAGACCCACTCACTGCAAGACAATCCGCGAGCAGGGCACAGCAATCCCTGCAGAGCTAGCCTAATCGCGTGGGGTCGGACAACAGCTTTCCAGCAGGAGGCGCTAAACTACTGCAAGCCGGCTTCGGGCACCGCATGGGAACCAGACTTTGCAGCATCCAACAAGCATCTCCGGGAAGCAGTAGTAAGGGATACAGGAAGACCGAACTTGGATCACTCTGAGGGCAGGTGGGGAAAGGGAGAACCGTTGTCCCGATCTCGGGGCAGCAAGCAAGATCCAAGATATAGGTGGCTCCTGAGCTGCAACGGCATCTAGGTGCAGGCTGGCACTGGGGGTGGGGGTCAGCTCTACAGGCTTTGGGTGGGTGCTATCTCTTAGTACCAGGCTGCGGTGGGTATTGGGGGCGGAAGACTCTCTAGGTACCGCAGTATGGGGCCGCGCCTGGACTCTGGCCACGCCAGCGCAACAGGGTGAGGGGATCTTAACAGGTAAATATAAATCTCACCTTATCTGGCTTCCCTAAATTCAGCTCGGAGAAAAGATGGATCATGTGAGTGGGACTGAGAGGTTTATGGAGCCGAGCTCTTGTGGCTGTAAATCATTCTGCCCTCTCCGGTATAAAGCACTGGTCCAGCCCGGCGTGGGAGAGAGGAGACGCTCGCTGCCCCTTGACCCCCAACTTGGTGTTGGCTCCCGGTGCAGCCAGGTGCGTGCCCCCGTCAGATTTGGGGAGTGGGACCTTGTGCGGGATCCCGCCTAGTGCCACTACTTCTTTCTGTACAATATTTCCGGTCCAGGTGGGAAAGGTTCAGTCTTCAGTTTTTCTCTTCTTCCCCGGTACTTGGTCTAGCACCCTTAGTCCCCACATTCCGGGGTCCCCAAATCCAGGGATCATGTAGGAGGAAAAGAAGAGCTCCCCGGGTTGACCTGGAATCCTGTCCTCCTTCACCCTCCCCCCACAGTGATCCCTTCAACCTCCTCCAGCCGCCCCACCATGTCGGAGGAGCTGGTCCCGCATCCCAAGGAGAGCCTGCCGGGACCTCGGGCAAGCCCCCGCGAGGTGTGGAAAAAGGGCGGCCGCCTACTGTCGGTGCTGTTGGCTGTCAACGTGCTGCTGCTCGCCTGCACGCTCATCAGCGGCGGTGCCTTCAACAAGGTGGCCGTGTATGACACCGACGTGTTCGCGCTGCTCACCACCATGATGCTCCTGGCCGCGCTGTGGATAGTCTTCTATCTCCTCCGCACTGCGCGCTGTCCGGATGCCGTGCCCTACCGGGACGCGCATGCCGGCCCCATCTGGCTCCGAGGTGCCCTGGGAGATGGGGACAAGAGCAGGGTGGGCACGGTGGGGAGCTGCAGTCTGGGGCTCATGGAGGATCTGCAGGGTGTGAGTTTGGGTAGATAGGTGTAAAGTTCCCTGGGAAGAGTGATGTGGCCAGAGCTCATTGGGGTGGGATGAAGATGTAGGGTGGAGGGAGGGAAACGGACCGGTCCTAGAGGGTAAAGAGAGGTGGAGGATTCTTTGCCTTGTCTAAAGATTGGACAGAGATGGTCATGCACAGCTTTTGACTGTGAGCAAAAAACGTACAAGATAATAGCAGCTAACAAGTTCTGTCTCAAGGCTTTCCCCTTGTCTGTGCAGCGGAGGGGACACAGATTGTCCACCCTCTTCCCACTCACTCACACGCTCATCTTCCACCTACCTATTCATCTCCCAGCCCTTCAGTTTGCCCATGCACCTGTTCATCCATTTATCTGTCCCTCACCCTCTCCATGCATTCCTCCACCCATCCACCTGTTAATGCCCTCATCCATCCACCCAGTAATCTCTCAGTCCATCCATTAGTCCATTCATACATTCATGCATCCATCCATTCATTCTACCAACCTCTCCACTCATCCACCTATCCACCTGTTCATTTACACACTCAACCTTCAATCCACCCATTCATTCATCTTTCAGTCACACATTTGACCCTTCATGTATTCATCCATCCATTCACTCATCCTCTCACCCTCTCTACTGGCCCATTCTTCCATCCAATTGTCTACCCATTCTCTCCACCCCTCCCAACTAGCCACTCCCCCTCAGAACCTATCCTCCACCCTACAAGCCCTCTCTCCTGCCTCTCTGATGTACTACTCTCCTGCTGGCCCTGATTCAGGTGGGCTTGTGCTGTTTGGGATTTGTACCCTTGTCATGGATGTCTTCAAGACTGGTTACTACTCCAGTTTCTTTGAGTGCCAGTCGGCCATCAAGATCCTGCACCCCATCATCCAAGCTGTGTTTGTCATTGTCCAGGTGGGTAGAAGGAATGTCCCCATATGGGGAAGAGCCTGATGCTTGGCAAGAGCTCAGGAGATCTGAACTCCACACGTACCCACCCCCCAACCCTGAGCAATTCAGTAACTGGAATCCGACTGTGGTAGGGATCATATGAGCCCATAAACAGGGAAACGCTGACTCATGAAGTGGTGTCTAAATGTGAATTCCTACTTAGGGGTGCTGCAATTTTATTTCAACCTAAGTGGTGCCAGTAATTAACACCTAGGAGGTGCAAGTTGTGACAGCTGGCCCTGTCTGATAGAACCTCGGGTGTCCATGGAGGGCATCAGTCTCTGACTAGGGTTGTGCTATGGCCATGACCATGGCTATGGCTTGTTTGATCTCCATGTTTGCTATTTGTTTAGGAGGCAGGGCATCCCGTAACTGTGGTTTTTCAGACAAGTTCAAATCAATTTCTTTTCTTTTTCCTCTTGTGACTCACTTCACGCAGCCCAGACTGGCCTTGAACTCCCGAGCGCGGGGATTTCGGGAGTGTGTCACACCTGGCGTGTCACACCTGGCTCTCTAGGTTTTTTTGTTTTAATGTGTTGCATAAAGACCATTTTGAAAGTGCTGACTCAGCTGCGGCAGGACTGCTCTTGCATGGGACCAGAAGAGAAGTTCACCTTGTAGTACAAGGAAGCTGACCAGGAATGGTGCCATGCCTTGAAGCATCCGCCTGGCACCCAGATGTCCACAGTGCCACACACATGTGTCTGTGGCACTTTATGTAGCTTTAGTCTTTTACATTTTATAAGTTTGAAGAGTGCTCAGGAAAAATGAAAACACAAATACCCCCACATCAGTAAGTCCCATGGCAGGGACTCATCGATAGTCAGACGAGGGTAAAGTCTTTCAGATCCACAAAATCTCCTTCCTTCTTCAGAAGGAAGAAGACAGCAGGGGATGTGGACAGAGAGGCCAGAGGTGTTGATAGGACAGTTAAGAGTTCAAGGCAACTCTCTGCTACATAATGAGTTCAAGGCTAGCCCTTGGGAAGCAGAGGCAGACAGACATCTGTGAATTTGAGGCCAGCCTAGACTACGTATGGAGTTCCAGGTCAACCAGCGCTGCATAGAGAGACCCTGTCTCAGCAACAATAAAACCCAGAGGCCGTTTTTACCTTGAGCAAGATCTAGTCTGAGCCTGGCCTTGCTCCCAGAAGTATGTCACTTGGTAGCCAAGACTCCATTTGCCCCTGTATCACTCCAGGCCCTCCAAATCTCATCAAGATGAAAATGTCTTACATGCGAAGTTTGATCTAATCTTTAAGGAACAGAGAGCCACTTTTTTTTTAAAGCAAGCTGAAGTATAGAGTAGAAAGAAAAATTATTCCTTTTCCTTTGTAACGCTAAAATAAACTTGGTTAGTCTAAGGGTTATTGGGATAGAGAAAGTGTCATACTGGGTGTGGGTGGGCACTGCATTCTGAGACTAGCCCATGTACACAGTATTGAAACTGTCCCCCTCTCTCTGTGTAGACTTACTTTCTCTGGGTCTCTGCTAAAGACTGTATCCACACCCACCTGGACCTGACCCGGTAAGAACCACAGTTCAGTGTCTGTGGGCCAAGGGCTCACCTGGCATGAGAGAGGAGACTTGTCATCCGGGGTGTGGCTCTTCTCCCTAAGTCCCGGGTGGGGTTTCAGCCACCCCTTCCTCTTTGTCATCTTACTTTCCACTGCCTGGACCGTGCCCTTTCCCCTAGTGGGGCCTGAGCCTCAGGACACTCGCTGGCCCCCTCTTATCTGGCATCCCACCCGCCTGAGTCTTGCTTCCAAGTTCAACCCCCCTGTTCATCGGGGCCCGTTTCTCAGGAGGACTCCCCACCCTGCCTTGCTTTGCCAGGGACCCATAGTGAGTCCAAGACTCACGGGCCCTTTATTCTCCTCGCCCATCGTCCTGAAACAGGTGTGGGCTCATGTTCACCCTCACCACCAACCTGGCCATCTGGATGGCAGCTGTCGTGGATGAGTCCGTGCACCAGGCCCACTCCTACAGCAGCTCTCTCGGCAACACCAGCCACACCCGCCTCGCCCCTGACCGTGAGTCCCCTGTTAGCGCTGGTCCTGTGGCTGCCAGGCACTGGCTGGGCGCGTTGCGTGTTCACAGTCAGTCAACCACGCCTTTGCCAGGGCACGGTGGTAAAGGGAGAAGCCCTGGGCCTCCTCCACTCCAGGCGCTCCCTCGGAGTTGTGAGTAGGGGCAACAAGGAACCAGAGAGTATGGTGTATTTCCTCACCCTCGAGGGTACAGTCTTAGCCACACCGTCCAGATCTCCATCCCACCGAGAAGGAGCCCAAGGACGAGAGTGACAGCATTGAGGAAGGGAAGTGAGACAAAGTGGTTCAGCCTTTCCAGCCAGGGGAGAAAGGAAAGGCAAGAAATCCGCCCCCCATGTTATGACGTCATGATGACATCATCGCTTGGACATATGACTGCTTTGCTTGGTGCAGAATGCCTCAAATGTTCTACTTAACAACTTCCCTTTGGAGATACATATCACTAATGTTACTAATGTTCCCATTTTATAAAAGCAGACACTAGGCACAGAGAGGCTAAATAGTTGCCCAAGGTCACACAGCCTAAAATGGAAGTGTTCAAATGCACCTTTGCTTTTAGCCAGTGAGTTACCCTGAGAAAGAACACCCTTCACAGTCCACTCACTGGTTCTAGATCTCTGGACTTCTCCTCTATCCAGGACCAAACTAGATAACTAAGACTCCCACATATACCAACCTCTACTGTCACAAGGGAGGCTTCAGAAATTGGAACCATGACCCTGGCCTGCAAAGAGACCCCAGTGTAGAAGGACTGATAAGAGCCACCTGGTGTATGCAGGGAATCTTGATGATGGAGAAGACAGCCCCAGACAGGTGGTCACCTTAACAGGTGACACTCCAGAGCAGGAGAAGCTATAGCATTCGGAGTTACGCGTTTTTCCTTGGCTCACCCATTAATTCTCATGCCTCACTGGCCCTCAGATTCTTCATCCACAGATCCCGCTGGGGAAGCTCTGGAGCCAAAAGAGCCATTTGCAGAGGACCCAGGCATCCTAGACAGCACATTCTGAATTCCCCCTCATCGTGGCACAAACCACAATGATGGAAATCGTGGTGGGGGTCGGTCTGGACACAGCAGCTGGAGCTCTGAGCTGTCAAATGTGGAGAGAGCTGTAGGGAGCTGAGCTAGGGGAGAGTGCTTCCTTTTATGAGGACCAGAGTGTGCCTAACTCAGGGAGCAAAGTGTCCTCATGGATCAGGAGGCACTGGAGAAATGGAGGTGCTCAGATTTGTAGTTCTCATTTTCTTTTTAATTTCTGTTTGAGTGTGTGTGTGTGTGTGTGTGTGTGTGTGTGTGTGTGTGTGTGTGCAAGCCAGAGGTCAACATTAAGTGGTTCCTCAATTCCTTCTGTATTTTTACAGGTATTTATGTATTTTTAGACTCTCTCTCTCTCTCTCTCTCTCTCTCTCTCTGTGTGTGTGTGTGTGTGTGTGTGTACAGAGGTCATAAAACAACTTTCAGGAGTTGGGTCTCTCGTTCCACCTAGGAATTACACTTAGGTCATAGGGTTGGTGGTAATTGGTGGCAAGCACCTTTTCATCTGCTGAGCCATCACTCTGGCCCTCCACCTCATTACTTTCTGAGACAAGTTATCTCATTCAACCTGGCCCTCACAGCCTCAGCTAAACTGCCTGGCCAGCAAGCCTCAGGGATCCCCTGCCTCCACCATGCCAAGCTTTTTACATGGGTACTGTGGAGTCCAACTCTGGTTCTTTCTTTTTTTATTTTTTTTTTCAAGACGGGATTTCTCTGTGTAGTTTTGGTACCTGTCCTGGATCTCCCTCTGTAGACCAGGCTGACCTCAAACTCACAGAGATCCACCTGGCTCTACCTCTCAAGTGCTGGGATTAAAGGCTTGTACCACCACCGCCCGACTCCCAACTCTGGTTCTTATGCCTGCATGCCAAGTGCTTTATAAACTGAGGCTTCTCCAAGCCCCAGATTTTTATTGTTTTACTTTTTTATTTTTAGCACTGATTTGTCTTGTAGTGTCTGGCACAACCAATAATTGTGGAATGAGTGAAGACTCTAGACCCTGTGAGGTCCTTTGGGCTGCGGTGGTGCCTGGCAGAGAGAACCACCGCTTCACTTGTCACAAACTAGGAGAGGAGGGTAGAGCCCAGCCCTGTGTCCTTCTCCCCACAGCAGAGCGTGCAGGCGGCACAGCTGGAGGAGACCCGTGCTCCTGCAGCACAGCCATCTGCCAGATCTTCCAGCAAGGCTACTTCTACCTATATCCCTTCAACATCGAGTACAGCCTCTTCGCTTCTACCATGCTGTACGTCATGTGGAAGAACGTGGGCAGACTGCTTGTGTCCACCCATGGCCACGGCCACATACCGTCCAGGGTCAGCCTCTTCCGGGAGACCTTTTTCGCTGGTCCAGTCTTGGGCCTGCTACTCTTTGTTGTGGGCCTGGCTGTCTTCATCCTCTATGAGGTCCAGGTGAGTGGAGAGAGAGGCCATACCCAGCAGGGCCTGGTCACCTACTACAGCTTCAACATCGTCTGTTTGGGGCTCATGACTTTGGTCAGCCTGAGTGGCTCAGTCATCTATCGTTTTGATCGTCGGGCCATGGACCACCATAAAAACCCAACACGTACCCTGGATGTAGCCCTGCTAATGGGTGCCGCCCTGGGCCAGTATGCCATCTCCTACTACTCCATTGTGGCCGTGGTGGTGGGCTCACCCAGGGACCTGCTGGGGGCACTCAATCTGTCACATGCTCTGCTCATGATTGCCCAGCACACCTTCCAGAATGTGTTCATCATTGAAAGCCTCCACCGAGGACCGCCTGGGGCTGAGCCTTGTGAAACGCCCCCCAAGGAGCCCTGCCAAGGCATCACCTTTGCCAACCTGGATGCCATTCACACCTTGCCCTCCTGCCCACCCACCCCCAGGCTGGTCAGCCCCAACCCAGAAAGTCCCCAGGAAGCAGTGGCCATCATCTCAGCCCCCAGGTGCCATTGGCGACGTCGGTGCCTAAAAGACATCTCTCTGTTTCTTCTACTCTGCAACGTCATTGTGAGTAGTTGAGGGACAGGAGGGTGAGTGGGGTGGGGATGCTTCTAGATTGGGGGAAGATTGCTGACTGCTTAACCTTCTCTGTCTTGCCAAAGACTCATTCTAGAATTTTACACAGGAGCAGATTCAGAAAGAGACAGCTGCAGCCTTTGGGCAAACAGCCTTTCAGGGCGCAGGGAGCATGCAATCCCAGCCCTCTGGCGTGTTGGCAGCTGATGAGGGGTCCCGGGGAAGGCTGACATGGGGGCTGGGTGGAAGTGAGAGGGATCTGAGAGCTGATGTGGAGGGGTGAAGGCCCTCACCCCCAGGTGGGAGGTGTGACTGCTCCCAGGATCTTGTGACCTGCTGGCTTCTCAGAATAATTGGAGCAGCCTCAGGAAGTCGCAAAGATCAGCGTAAGTGTGAGCAGTCTGTTGGCAGGCTGCAGCGGAGGGGCTACTGGGAAGAGCGGTGTGTACAGCAGCTGCCCCCTCTCAGATGACTTGGCAAGGAGTGAGAGGCTTCATCCAGTACAAGTATGTCCTCTGGAAAGAAATACCCCAAAGCAGAAACCCTCATAGTAAGATGGCACCCCCAAAGAGGAACATTCCTAGTATAGCTACACCCAGCATAGCCGAGCTCCAGTGCAGACACGATCCCCAACACAGAAATATCTGATACAGAAATATGCACCTATGAGGACAGTCAGCCTCTGGATCTGCAGGCCCCAGGATTTGCCCAACCCTTAGATGGAAAATACTAGGGAAAAAATTCCGATCATATTGAACATATTTTTTCCTTGTCATTATGCTCTAAACAAAACAAAGTGCAAACTATTTCTATAACATTTATATATATTGTGGACACAGTAATTTGAAGTATACAAGAAGATGTATGTAAGTCATTTTATGTATCTTTTTACGTAAGGGAATTGAACATCCTTGTGTGCTGGTTCCCAAAATATTGCTTCCAAGACCAGTTCTTTAACCAGTCTACACCAAATGATAACTGTGGATCTCAGGCATATCCTGAGGCTGGGAATATGAACCATGAAGACTTCCAACAGTCAATTTTGCTTTAAAGAAAAAAAAACATTTCAGTCTTCAAGCTCTGGCCTTACCAGGAGAAGCAATAAGACTCAAAGCCTCATTTTATCTAGGGCCCACTTTGGTAATATGGCCTCTCTGCCTCTGCCCCTCCCCCACCCCCAGCCCGGCCTTGAGGTTGAGAGCTACCTTCCAGCCGTTCTTGCTCCACGTATCTGAGTCCAAACCACTCTTGGAAGCATCCTCCCACTGCTCATTTTCTAGAAGAGAAGCAGACTCAGGAGAGGCTGCGATGTCCCCCGAGAATGGAGTTAATTGGCATAGGGGTTAGGCTAGCCTTGAGGACTTTCTGTCTCCGTATCCCACACCCATAAGGAAGGTCTGAGTTCCTATGTGGAGGTGAAGCAGGAGTCTAGCCTTTGACTTCTCCCACACATGGAAGGGACAAGGAGGAGACGTGAAACAGGAGTAGCACTCCTGGAGGGCTGGAGTGGGGCGGCCTCCTGGCTAGGCTTTGACCCGCACCACCCCCGCACCCCCCACCCGTCCCCTAACCCTTCCCTCGGCTTGATTGAGTCTACGTCAGTACTCAAACACACTTCTTCCCAGTGGCCCCTTCACCCTTCAGCTGCTTGTATCAACTTCTCACATCACCTTCTGGAACTTCCATCTGATAGGGAGGCCAGGGGTGGGAGGAGTGACTTCAGGTGGTCCCCAGACTAGGAGTGGACCAGTTCAATTAGACACACTTCCTCCGCTCCTCACCCAGGCCCTGTCCTCTCTGCTAGAGGTGGGTGACAGTCTCTGATGGCCACCAAACTAGAAGGCTGGGATCCCATTCTTTCATGCCCAACAAAGCCCACAGAAGTCACAAGCAGGCTCCTAATGCACCCCTCTCCCCCAACAGCTATGGATCATGCCTGCCTTCGGCGCCCGCCCACACTTCAGCAATACCGTGGAGGTAGACTTTTACGGTTACTCCCTTTGGGCGGCCATCGTCAACATCTGTCTGCCATTTGGCATCTTCTACAGAATGCATGCTGTCTCCAGTCTGCTGGAGGTCTATGTGCTGTCCTGAAGCGCCACACAGAAACAGGACAGAGGAACCCCAGCTCCTCTGGGAGTGAATTGGGCTGGCACTCACTCCCTGCCTGCCTGAAACTAGACTTTTCATCGAAGTTTATTTTTCCAGGATGAATTTTTAAATCAAAATTGAGACGTGTCCATCTACTCCTGCATGATCCTGGAGCCTGGGGAGACCCAGGCAGGGAAATGAGTCCCTGCAAGCATTCCCTAGGACCAGACAGGATCTGGAAATGTGGTCTCTGGCTCTATCACTAATCCCAGTCATGTGGCCTGTGCACTGTCTGGAGCTAGGAACCAATAAACCTGCAACCACACTTTTGTCCCCAATTCTTGTCTCAGCTGCCTTGCCCGCGATGATCACAGGAGAGGAACCTGGGGGTCTGAGCTGGAAAGGCTCAAGGTTTTCAGACATCCACGTTTTCAGTGGGTGAGCTGAGCTGAGTCCAAGCTGAAGGCTTTCTCAACAGTGGATGACAGGGTGACTGGGAGGGACCAATGGAGTGCCCATGACCGTGACTGTCTTTCTTATGATCCAGGGGATGTTAGGGAAGACTGATTCAATCTAATGTTTACAAAGAAGGAAACTAAGGCTCATGGATATAAAGAGACAGAGCCTTTATATCAACAATAATTTGTCAAGTGTGTGTGTGTGTGTGTGTGTGTGTGTGTGTGTGTGTGTGTACTTGCACACATGTGCAGGTGGGTGTAGAGGCCGGAGGTCAACCTCAGGGAGTTCTCCACATTGCCCTCTTCCAGTCTCCAATGTGTGTACACGTGTGTGAGGACGTGTGTGTACAGATGTGTGAGGGTGTGTGTGTGTTTGTGCGTGTGTGGTGTGTGTGTGTGTGAGGGTGTGTGTACAGGTGTGTGAGGATGAGTGTGTACTTGTGAGTGAGGGTGTATGTGTGTATACACGTGTGTGAGGACATATGGAGGCCTGAGGTTGGTGACAGGAATCACCTACCCTTCCACTTCCATCTTACTCTTTGAGGAAGGGCCCCTCAATCAGATTCAGAGCCCACTTTCGTATGGCTCATCTTGGTAGCACACTAGCCTAGGGATCTGTCTCTGCTTCCCAAGGCTGGGAGGACAAAGGAGCCACCACAGCCACAGGGCATTTACCATTTACATGAATTCTGGGGATCTGCACAAGTGCTTTAACTCCTGAGCCAGCACTGATTTTGCCTCCCGGAATGCTATCAGATCCTGTGGGGCTGGAGCTCTGGAATAGCAGCCAGTGCTCTTAACCGCTGAGCTGTCTCTCCAGCCCCCATCATGTAAGACAGGGTTTCTCTTGGGGAGTTCACCAAATCACCACAGCTCCCTAGTCACTGAGCTCTAGAGATCTTCCTGCCGCTCCTCCCAAGCCTTCTATTGTAAGCATGGGACTATGTGGCGTTGGAGCGCCAACTCAGGTCTTCACACTTGCGTGGCAAACACTTTGCTGACTGAGCAGTCTCCCCAGCCTTCAAACTTCCCCCTTTTTATGAGCAGTAGAGGTTTTTGTTGTTGTTGTTCACATGTTTTTAATCGATACATAGTAATTGTTAAGTGTGCCATTTCAGAGTACAGTGTGTCAGGATCGGATCCGAGGACTGGCATATTGGTTGCCTCAGACCGAGAACCAAGAACATCGTGTATGTGTGTTGGGAGCATTCAAAGTCCCTCTGTTTGCTGTTGTGAAATACGCAATGGATTGTTGCCAGCCATTGTTACCCTCCTGTGCGGCAGAACCACAGGAGCTAATCTTCCTGTCCATCTGAACCTAAACCCATTAACCCTAAGCAGCAGGCATTTTCCTTCAGACACCGCAGGAGCACCAGGAGCATGAGTCCTTAGTGTAGATAGAAGAGGTGGTTCCAGCTTAAGAGAAACTGGGGGAGTCCTCCCAGGGGCCACCCATTACTTACTCTGCTTGGGGTCCTTTAGGAACCCCTCCAAAGCCACAAGACTGCTCTGCCACAGCTGTGTACAGAGGTGGAGGAGGGAGGAAGGATCAGAGCTGGTTTCGGGTTACGTTGTGTTGGGTTTTTGAGACAGAGTCTCATGGAGTCCAGCTGGCCTCTAACTCCCTATGTAGCCAAGGATGACCTTTAACTCCAGATGGTCTTACCTCCCCACTCAAGTACTGTGATTACAAGTGTCATCATTCAGCTTGTTTATTTTTAATTTTTCATTACATTTTAATTTCTGTGTGTGTGTGTGTGAGTGTGTGTGTGTGTGTGTGTGTGTGTGTGTGTGTGTGTGTGTGTGTGTTCACCTGCTGTGGTGTGTGTACCAGTGGAGGTCAGAGGACAATGTGCAGAATCAATTCTCTCCACCCACCTTATAGGTCCCAGAGATGGAACCAGCACCAGCCCGTTTATTTATTTATTTATTTAGTTAGTTAGTTAGTTAGTTAGTTAGTTAGTTAGTTAGTTAGTTAGTTAGTTAGTTATTTTTGTGTGAGAGTCAGAGATTGGAAGGGAGACCCTACAGCCAGAAGGGAAGGAGAGCCAGACCTGGATTAGGCTGAGGACCGTGCTGGGAGTGGTGGCATTTGGGAGAAGAGTGTGAGAATAGTGACGTGTAGAGTACGGAGACATCAGAGGAAAGAGAGAGGCTTCTGTCATCAGCATGGCGTCCACAGGTCTTTGAGGCTGAGGCTGGGGGTGGTGGGGATGTGAGGCGGAGAGGGGAGGGGGAGGAGAAGGGGAGGACCAGAGAAGGCCCTAAAGACTGCCTCCCCTCCTGCCTTCTAATCCCATCTCCCACCTTGGGTCTCTTCTACCCGACTTCAGGTTTGATGTAAGGCAGAGAGGTCCGGAGAGAGGCGGCTTTGGAGCTAGGTCAGCTAGGTAGGGTGTGGAAAAGAGGCGACCTGGACCTGGAAAGAAGAGGGTCCCGTTCGTAGCTCAGACGCCACAGGCAAGTGTCGCCTGAAGCCAGCAAGCTCTCGGTGCAAGGCTGAGGACAATGCACCCCAATACACCTTGGGTGCTGCCCCTACTCAGACCCTGCAGCCGGCGTCCGCCCCGCCTCCTGCCACGCCCTCCCGCCCAGCCGCCTCGCCATTGGCTGCCCGTCCTGTGCCCGAGCCCTTGGCGGAGTAATTAACGAGGGATTAATGAGATTCCCAAAGTCAACAGAAAAATCGATGGGCCTTGGAGCCCGAGCGGCGGCTGCGCAGTCTCGCAGGGGGGTCGGGGGGAGGAAAGGGCGTCGAGGCTCTGTCCCAGGGCTCCCGGGGCCTCACCTGGACGAAAGATACGCTGCAATTCAGGTGTTGGGGAGCTCGCGACGATGGCTTCGCAGACCTCAGGTAGGACTGCTCAGCTCGAGCTGGGACCCCTGAGGACCCGGGGACAGCTGACTGAACCTCCCCCGGAAGCCCATCCTCACACTCACGGCTCCAAAGTGGGGTTCATGAGCCCGGGGCTACAAGGACTGGGAAGAGAGGGGAGAGTGAGTGGGGCAGCCGAAGCTGTCTCCTCTGTATCGAGCACCCCAACGCTGGCTCTGCGCATACCGGTTCAAGGGTCCGTCTTCACAGTCCAAAGAGGGTGCCTAGACCGAATAGAATCCAGAAACCTGAATGGATGGTCGGTTAAAAAAGAGGCTGCCTGGACCTCTCTCCCCCGGCTCGGAACGAAATCCCTGAAGCTTCCGGGCCTGCAGAACTGGCCCTGTGCTATTGGCCCCGTGTCCCCGACGGTTCATCTTCTTTCATTGCCCGCCTCTGAACGCGACCCATAAACCAGTTTGGTGTCTAGGACCTCCCTTGGAATGGTGTCGTGCTGAGTGAGAGGCGTGCCAAGGGTGGCGGAGTTCTAGTTGGTTCCAAGCTCATTAGCTCTAGCTCTTCTCCGGGACCCCTTGATGTCCACCCTAATACCTTGTCTGGCAGTGAACCATACTCGCCCCTTTGATAACCGCTGGTGGAGCGCTGAACCCCGGGCGTGGGAGCAGGGGAAACCGTCAGAGTGCAAGCCCTTTGAAGGGAGAGGACCTGGAACTTTGCTCTCCAGGGTCTCCACACACCCCCACTCCCAAAGCTTGTAGTTTGAGTGAAAACTCCAACCTTTCAGTCCCTCTAGGATCTTGATCTGTAGGGAAGTTCACAAAAATCAACCAGGCACGGCTCTTCGTGTATTTTCACGTATCAAATGATTAAATTCTGACAAAACTCCTGAGGTAGGTATCATGTATTCATTCCTTCATTTATTCATTCCAGAACTTGTTGAGCTGGGCATGTAACTCAGTGGTACTGCACCAGCCTAGCATGCACAAGGCTCTGGAATGACTGCTAGATGGAGTGTGAGCCAGCGATGAGCACTGGGAATTACCATTCCATCGTTGCTCGCTCTTGTCACGGATGGACAAGGACACTGACCAGAGAAACTAAGTAGCTTGGCCACGATCACAGAGATGCTAAATGCCATCTGGGCTATTGATCAGTAGGGAGTGGGGAAGGGAGGGCAGACTGTGGAGAAGATGAGGTGGAGCCACCAGAGCTGGCAGAAAAGGAGCAGGGAGGTGTCCTGGGAGCCTTACCTTGCTCAACCTGGGTGAGAGAGGTAAAAAGATAACCATCTGGGCCGCCTCCTCACCTGCACCAGGATGGAAAGGGTTAAGGGGTAGGGTCTCTGTTCACAGCTCTAGTGCTGAAATCCCCCTCAAGAAAAAGCCAGGGTCCAGGGCATACATTGGCTGGGTTTTAGGACTGTGCTAGATTTGGAGAGGTGAGTGGGACAGGACCCCGTCTCTGCCCTGGAGGAGTCCCAGATCTTGAGGGAACCGCCCTGGATGGTGCACACTCATGCTCAGCAGAGGAGTGGCCTGACATAGTAGCCACATGTCTGCTTGGGCAGAGGGAAGGCTTCCTGGTGAAGAGGCTGGGTGAGGGTCACTGGTGGGAGCTGGCAGGAAGAGAGAAAGTACGTAAGAGGGAGTCAAGAGACCACACAGAAAACATGGAGTCCTCTATTTAGGTTTGAGTGGATATGAGGAGCTCGGGGTGTGGCCAGGGACTGGACAGGGAGGGTGTAGAATTGTTCCCAAGGATGGACTGTCAAAGGAGAGAAACTTGTTTATAAATTCCTGAAAGGGGTTCAAAGTTTAGTGCTTCACTGTCCAATAGAGAACATCAGAAGTTCTCAGTTCTCAGTATTGCTCAGGGTGCATGTGGGGAAATAGGGCCTCAGAGAGGCTGTAGTGAGGGGCAGTGTGGCGAGGCTTTCCTAGTAGGGTCTTGAGGGACAGACAGAGCAAAGTTCCTTAATGAAGATAGAGCATGCTAGGCAATGCATTGAGCAAGGGATGCTGGTGAGTGGCCAGAAGGGACCCTCACCAAGCCTGGGCGAGTCCTAAAGGACCAGCTGGAGTCACCAAAGAGCAAGAGGGAGGGAATCATAGGCAAAGGATGGGGGCATGGGCAAAGATAGGAAGGTAAGCAAGAGCATTCTGGGAACTCTAGCAGGATGCTGCTGCCCATGGGGAGAGCAGTGGGGGCTGGGGAGGTGAGTGAAGGCAGGAGCAGGAAGCAGCAGCAGCAGCAGCCCCCCTCTTCCTAGAGCACTGTGTGCCCCAGGCCCTCGTTAGCACACACTGTCTCATTCCACTCAGTAAGGCCCCGTCGCCTTGGACTTTAGACTGAGGGCAACTGGCTGTCTTTGCAGGACTCTCAGGGGAGACAGGCACCGTGAGCAGGAAGCCAGTCAGGAGAGACTAGATGGGCTCCAGACTAGAGGAGCGGTTCATCTAAGTAGCCAGGCAGGCATAGAGGTGCAGGTAGGTGCAGGTATATGTAATCCCAGCACGTGGGAGGCAGAGGCAGGAAAATTGAGAGTTCAAGGCCAGCTTGAGCTACAGAGCCAGACTATAAAGAAAGCAAGCTAACAAGAGAGAAACCAAGAGGGAGAGAAGATGAAGGAAAGGAGGAAGGCCAAAGGCAGGCAGTGTGGGAGCTGGAATGGACAGGCTTGGGGTCTGATGGCGTGCATAGTCTGGACAAAAGCAAAGACGAAGTCCAGCTCTCTGCTAAGAGATGTGCGTACAGAACCCCCCTGGGATCAGGAGATGGGTCAGTAGGAACTCGGAGTGCTGAGGCCAGAATGCCCGGAGGCAGGAGCTCCACGAGGGCCTTTGGGGCAGTGGAGTAGGGAGCACACTGGGGAGGAGCAGTGCCCAAAGCAGTCTGAAGGGACAGCACTACAACTACCGGGTGGACCAAGCAAGTGGTGACAGTGAGTGGCCCGAGAGAAAGCTTCAGATGAGCAAGGAAATGGCAAGAGACACTCAGGGAAAGAGCGGGCTGGAGACGGTGTCCTCCTGCACATTCATAGGACAGCCGGGAGTAGAGTAGGGTAGATAGAAGTTGGGGCAGTTAAAGTCAAGTGCATGGCGTTCATACTGATCCTTCCCATCCCATCCACAAGGCAGACTTGGCAAATCAATCACAGAGCTTTTCCTCCAAACCTTTCATGAGTTTTAAGATACATTTTAGTGGGGCTGGAGAGATGACTCAGTGGTTAAGAGCACTGGCTGCTCTTCCAGAGGTCCTGAGTTCAATTCCCAGCAACCACATGGTGGCTCACAACCATCTTCTGGCATAGGAGGGCATCATGCAGATAGAGCACTCATATACATTATAAATAAGTCTATTTTTTTTAAAAAAGATACATTTTAGTTATATTGGTCATTTTTGTTGTTGTTTTTTTGAGACAGGGTTTCTTTGTGTAGCACTGGCTGTCCTGGATCTCACTTTGTAGATCAGGCTAGCCTCGAACTCACAGAGACCCACCTGTCTCTGCCTCCTGAGTGTTGGGATTAAAGGCGTGCGCCACCACTGCCTGACCACTTTTTTTAAATTTATTTAAGAACACTGAAGCTAGAGGGAACTCTCTCTCTTCAACTCCCTTCATTTCTCCCCCAGAAGAAACTCTACTGTGAACCCAATGGGTGTCGTCTAGACCTTGCCTGTACCTACAAATACTCCAGTGCACCCCTAATAGAGTATTATTCCAGACCACGGCATTCTTTTCCACCAAGCCCAGACTTAACCTCAAGACCCTTCTCAACACTACCCTGTATGCACTCACACCCTACAGTCAGGGAGACAGCCCCTGCTCTCCTGACTTTCATGAGTGGAATTTCTCTATAAACTAGCAGGTTCACACTGACTTTTGCTGGTGAAAAGTTCCAGCTCTGAAAAAATGCCCGGTGACAGGGCAGTACTCAAGTGACCCTTGCTGCCTGGACAAAACCATTATCCCAGGTCAGGATGAGGCATTGAGTTGCGAAGTGAGGAGGCCCAGTCATGGGTGGGGAGGGGAAGGTGGCTCTCAATGGATTCAAAACAACCCTTTACGCTCATGTGCAGCCTGAAGGACTTCTGTATCTATCTTGGTCTGTCTCAACCTTGGGTCCCATAAGGGATATGGGGCGGCTCCAGTGTCCCAACTAGAAGGGTTCCAGAGTATGCTCTCATCACACAGGTTAGGAACTGCGGTGGGCTCCAACCCGGGTCTCCTTGTCAGCTGATCTATTTACTCTGTCTTCCTCTCCAGCCCCTGCTCAGGTTGCACCCATGTCATCTTCAGAAGCAACTACCACTGAAGTAGCATCTACCTATGACCAAGCAGACATGGCAACCATGCACACAGGGCCCCCACGCCCTCCAAAGCAGAAGTCCTGGCTAGCAAGGAATTTCTCCCTGCTGTTGAGGAAAGACCGACAGGCCCAGAAGGCTGGGCAGCTTTTCTCCGGGCTCCTGGCCCTCAATGTGGTATTTCTGGGTGGGGCATTCATCTGTAGCATGATCTTCAACAATGTGGCTGTCACTCTGGGTGATGTGTGGATCCTGCTGGCCGCACTGAAGGTCCTCTCTCTGTTATGGCTCCTCTACTACATGGTGGGCACCTCACGGAAGCCCCACGCGGTGCTGTACCGTGACCCTCACGCAGGACCCATCTGGGTGAGGGGTGAGTGCTCGGTGCTAGGAGCATGGAGAGGGCCGGGGAAGGAGAACCCGTTCAGGAGCGGGTGCCCACCTGCCCATCCTCTCCTGGCCAGGTTCCCTGGTGCTCTTCGGTAGCTGTACCATCTGCCTGAATGTATTTCGCATAGGCTATGATGTGAGCCACATTCACTGCAAGTCCGAAGTGGAACTCATCTTTCCAGTCATTGAGATCATCTTCATGAGTGTCCAGGTGATGGGTCTCTCACATCCCCATACCTCTGGGAACACACATACCACCCAACCTATACTAAAACCAGCCACATAGCTAATGTCTCCAAGCCCCACGGTGTGGACACACACCAATCATAACCCACCTCCATGTATCCACACCCATACAAAGCTCTTCTGCACATGTGCGCCTCCACACATACCTGTCTCCCAGATGTAGACACCTATAAACACATTTGCCTATATGTGCCTGCATATTCTTTTGTTGTTGTTGTTGGGTTTTTTGTTTGTTTGCTTGCTTGTCCCCCCCCCACAGGGTTTCTTTATCTTTTATTTATTTATTTTTTTTGTGACAGGATTTCTCTGTGTAGCTTTGCGCCTTTCCTGGAACTCACTCTGTAGTTCAGGCTGGCCTTGAACTCACAGAGATCCGCCTGCCTCTACCTCCTGAGTGCTGGGATTGAAGGCATGCGCCACCACCGCCCATCTTTCGAGACAGGGTTTCTCTGTGTAGTTTTGGTACCTGTCCTGGAACTCACTCTGTAGCCCAGGCTGGCCTCGAACTCACTGAGATGCTCCTGGCTCTGCCTCCTGAGTGCTGGGATTAAAGGCGTGCGCCACCACCGCTCAAGTGCCTGCATATTCTTAAACCCAGCTCCCAGATACCCCTCCCCACCTCTCCATCTTGTTGAGCCTCTGCTGTGCTATATTTACACCACCCTTCCTTCCCTCACCAAGTAGGTTTCTCCCCGTCCCCAAGCAGTGGCGATGGAGCCCCTTTTCACAGCTGAGCAAGCTGCAGCACAGGGATGTTTACCCCTGGCCCATCACCACACAGAAAAAGGAAATGGCAGAGCCAGGATTCCAACCAGGCTTCCTATGGGCTCCTCCACTGCACACACACACACACACACACACACACACACACACACACACACACACACCCCTGAGGTGCTCACACTATATACCACCACACCACTAGCACCTGGGCTCAAGACCCTCTCTCTTTCAGACATGGGTGCTCTGGAGACACTGCAAAGATTGTGTTCAGGTGCAGACCAACTTCACCAGGTAAGATGCCCCCCCAGCTGGAGTCTCCTGGGGCTCTCTGTTTCCACCACCCTCCAGTTTCCCCAGACAGGAGGAGCCTGAAGTTGTGGGTTAGCATGGTATACATCCCAAGTGACCCCTAAGGATTCCTAAAATCCTATCACCACTTGAGATCTGCTTCTGAGTCTGCGTGTTCACCCCAACAGCAGTGAATGGTGAGGTTGGGGCCCTGGGAACTATTCAGGCTGTGTAAGCTGTGTGTGTGAGCAGAGTGTGGTCCTCCCTCCAGGTGTGGCCTCATGCTGACCCTGGCCACAAACCTGCTGCTGTGGATTTTGGCTGTGACCAATGACTCCATGCACCGTGAGATTGAGGCTGAGCTGGACGCCCTCATGGAAAAGTTCTCAGGTACAGAGGGGACCAGAACCTCCCACTCCCCCATCACATTTACATGTGCGCGCGCACATACCCACACACACACACACACACACACACACACACACACACACACACACACACAAACTGGGGAAGCACACACAGTTTGAAGTTGGGAGCACACTCAAGGCCAGGTCACTGTTAAACTAAAAAGTGTGGGCCGTAGAGATGGCTCAGTCTATAAAGTGCTTGTCGCAGAAGCACAGAGACCTGAGTTTGGTCCCTAGGAGCTCACATTTAAAAAGCTAGGCAGAGCCAGGCATGGTGGCACACCCCTTTAATCCCCACAGTGCTTGGGAAGCAGAAGCAGGCAGTTCTGTGAGTTCAAGGACAGCCTGGTCTACATAGTGAGTTCCAAGCCAGCTAGGGCTACACAGTGAGATCCTCTCTTTAAAAATAAAAGGTCATGCATGGCCTGACATATCAATCCCTAGGGCTTACTGGCCAGCCAGACTAATTGATGAACTAATTGATGAATGAGACTGTCTCAAAAAACCAAAGCAGATACCTCCTAAGGGACAACACCCTCTTGGGTGTCTTCTGGTCTCTATGTGCTCATACACACACACACACACACACACACACACACACACACACACACACACGGTTCATTGTGTCAGTGGTCCCCTTCGTGCTCCATCAGGGACTGGTACCTGTTGCCCTACTCCCTGTAGCCATGTGGCCATCAGCAAGCCAGCCACTAATCCTGGCTGAGTTGGTCACTGAGAAGTCTTTCAGGCATGCACCCACCCATGATATTTGTATTTTACTTGTAAGAGACTAAAAAGCCTTTGGGGCTGAAAGGAACGCTGTCCTAATGTAATCTTAATATCTAAACATACCAGGAGGGAGAGGAGACTTGTGGGTAGACAGCTCTCCCTAGATCATCCCATCTGGCCAATCCTGTGCCTGTATAGTCCGCCCTTTGAAGCAACATTCCATAAATCCACAAGGGGAGCTTGCAGTCTGTGGGATTCAGCCACACCCATGTGTCTGCCCCACCCACAGGTGGCATCATGACCTGTGTGTACCAGCTCTCATGCATTCACACACCCAGCGCATGAATCATGGCACGTCTGTATGTGTGGCCATCCTTATATTCTGTTTGCACTTTGCACAAAAAGTGCAAAGAGGGAGCTTTGGTCAAGTGACATCATGGATGTGTGTTTGTATGTCTGCGGCTAGGGGTTGGAACAGAGCCTCATTCATGCTGGGAAAGCACTCTACCACTGAGCCACACCCACAGTTTCAGTTTATTATTATTGGACAATTCCAGGGGCTCAATGGCCAGTCAGTTTAGCCAAAACACTGAGCTCTAGGTTCAATGAGAGACCCTGTTTCATAACATTAGGTGGAGAAGCAATTAAGGAAGGCAAATCAACACCAAGCCTACACACACACACACACACACACACACACACACACACACACACACACACCCCAAATATACAAAAATATACAATATAGTGGTTACATTTTTTGAGACAAGTTAGTCAAGGCTAGCCCCAAATTCCTGATCATTCTGCCTCAGCTTCCCAAGTGTTGAGATTACAGGTGTGAGCTGCTATTTCAAGCTAAAGTTCTTGTTTGTTCGTTTGTTTGTGGTTTTTGCAGTATAGGGGTTCAAACTCAGAGTCTTATGTTAGGCAAGAGATTTACCACAGAGCCACATTCCTAACCTTGACTTTCTGAAACAGAGTTTAACTATGTAGCCCAGACTGGCATTGAACTTGAGATCCTTCTGCCTTGGTCTCCCAAGCTCTGGGATTACAGGTGTGTGTCACTACACCTGGCATTTTGGTTAGGATTCTTTTTGTTTTGTTTTGGTTTTGGTCTTGGTTTTCAAGACAGGGTTTTTCTGTGAAACAGTCCTGCCTGTCCTGGAACTCACTCTATAGACGAGGCTGGGCCTCAAAATCACAGAAATCCACCTGCCTCTGCCTCCCGAGTGCTGGGATTAAAGGCGTGCACCACCATTGCCCAGCTAAGATTCTATTTTTTCTAATAATTTATTTTATTCTTAATTAAATATTATTGTGTGTGGCTCTGTGTGTGAGAGAGAGAGAGACAGAGAGAGAGAGAGAGAGAGAGAGAGAGAGAGAGAGAGAGAGAGAGAGACTGTGCACATAAGTGTGGGTGTCTGCAGAGGCAGTGGGGCATCAGATTCCTAGGAACTGGAGTTACAGGTGGCTGTGAGCACCTGATGTGGGTGCTGAGAGCCGAACCTGGGTCCTCTGCAGAAACAGTCCACTGAGTCATCTCTCCAGCCTCTGGTAAAGATTCTTTTTTAAAATGACCTTGAGGTTTTTCAGTTACTTCCCAGTGGTAGCATTTAGCTCCTTCCCACTTTCCTGCTTTTCCTAGAACTGGATGTACATACAGCCCAAAGTCTGACTTGGATTCAGCTCAAGCATTTTGGCACCCAGTGAATGACACCATGCACTCATCCAGAAGCGCTGACTTCTAATTACCCCAGTATGTCCTGCTGAGGCTGGTCACTGCATTCAGGTGTGGCAGCCCAATTTCTTATTGCAAATGATGGGTTTGCTCTGCCAACCAAGCAATATGTGGAGGTGATGCTTGGGCATATCTGACTGAAATGTTTTATAAAAGTTTGGCACCTAGAGTCTTGAATCCCTTTGTAAAAGAGTAATCATTTCATGATTTCCAATCTCTATGCTCCAGCCTCGAATGTTTCCACATCTGTAAAACAAACATCTGGCTGGGTCCTGTCCAGATCCAGTATGCTCCAGAAAGTGGGTGAGAGTGATCGTGCCACTTAGGTTTCTCAGTGCAGGGCCTGCCTGCGAAGCTGTATCTTCCTGTCCTGCCCCCTCTCAGGTAACGAGACCAACACTTGTATGTGCCTCAATGCCACGGTGTGCGAGGTCTTCCAGAAGGGCTACCTGATGCTCTACCCCTTCAGCACCGAGTACTGCCTCATCTGCTGCGCGGTGCTCTTCGTGATGTGGAAGAACGTGGGCCGCCGCCTGGCAGCCCACTCAGGTGCCCATCCCAACAGACCACCCTTCCGCCTGCACGGGGCCATCTTTGGTCCACTGCTGGGCCTTTTGGCACTTGTGGCTGGTGTGTGCGTCTTTGTGCTCTTCCAGATCGAGGCAAGTGGCCCTGACATCGCCCGCCAGTACTTTACCCTCTACTATGCATTCTATGTGGTTGTGCTGCCCGCCATGAGCCTGGCGTGCCTGGCAGGCACAGCCATGCACCGGCTGGAGGAGCGAGAACTGGACACACTCAAGAACCCCACCCGCAGCCTGGATGTGGTGCTGTTGATGGGCGCTGCGCTGGGCCAGATGGGCATCGCTTACTTCTCCATCGTGGCTATTGTGGCCACCCAGCCACACGAACTGCTCAACCAGCTCATCCTGGCCTACTCATTGCTGCTTATCCTGCAGCATATCACCCAGAACCTCTTCATCATCGAGGGCCTGCACCGCCGCCCCCTCTGGGAGCCTGTGCTCCCCGATGTGATGGGGAAGCAGGATGCTGAGCTGCCCCGCAGAGGTTCCCTGCGGGACCTGGGCCAAGACCTACGGAGAGCCTCGAGGGCTTACATCCACTCCTACAGCCACCTCAACTGGAAACGAAGGATGCTCAAGGAGATTTCGCTCTTCCTCATCCTCTGCAATATCACGGTGAGTATCTGAGCAGAAACTCCTGGGGCATGGGGGTGGTGTATGGACCCAGAGTCCCTTACTTAGGGAGTCACTCATCTCTAGCTAGCTTGATGCTGCTTGAGAGCCAGGAATATTTCCAGCAGCTCCCTGCAAGCTGCCTAGCATGAGTTAATGTGCTCAGCATGTAGCAAAGCCCTCTATACAAATGTGTGTGATTCTGAACCCCAGAAGCTTTCAGTCTTGATGGAGAAGGAGCCTGTTAGAAAATGACCGCTGAATTCATCATCCATTGAATTTGGCCAAAAGAGCAGCCCAGAACTATTTATTTTCTATTAATCCCTAGAGGAATTGGAGGTCGGCATTGATCTCTTAGCTTCTGGTGGCTGCTAAGTCGCAGGCCCAAAGGTCCATGCACTAGCTCCACATCTTCTTGAATCATCACAGCACCTCCAAATGACAGGCATTGTTACTGTCCATCCCCCCACCCCACCCCCTTGGACAAATTGAAGCATATGTTGTCTGCTCAGTCCCAGCTCTCACAGCCTGTAAGTGGCAGATATGGGACAACTCAGGGTTGTTTAGCTCCAAACCTCTAAAAGCACTGACAACACAGCCCAGATGTGAAACAGCTGGTCTATGCAGAGAAGAAGTGATAAATTGGCTTTGAACTACATCAGGAGTTCAGAGTCAGAAGCCTGTGTCCCAAGAGCCAATGCGTGTTTCTGGAAGGTGGATAAGGTTGATCTGGGCTTTGGCAAATGTGTAGAATTCTCACAGGAGGGGTGGGGGGGGGGGAGATGCAGGTGGCTGTAACTATCAGAAATAGTAAAGCCTCAGCTTGGGGCTTAGGGCACAAACCATCCAACTTGGCAGCATAGATAGCTGGCTGGGAGGTCCTGCCAAACGTCATGTCTAAGGCAGCCCTCTGGGGTTCAGCCTAGCTTCAGGCAAGCCAAGGTGGCCAAGGTAAGAAGGACACCAGGGCTGGGGACCTCGCTCTGAAAGCCCCAGGATGATGGAGTATGAGCAGGCTGGTTCTAGGTCAGCCTCCCATGAGCCGAGCATCTTAAGATTTGGGAGAGCCCCTTCCTCACCCAGCAGCCTCCTCTCTCTCCCCAGCTGTGGATGATGCCTGCATTTGGCATACACCCTGAGTTTGAGAATGGGCTGGAAAAGGATTTTTACGGCTACAGGACCTGGTTCACCATTGTCAACTTTGGCCTGCCTCTGGGGGTCTTCTACCGAATGCACTCTGTTGGGGGACTGGTGGAAGTCTACCTGGGGGCCTGAGGGCTCAATGAAATCAGCCACAGCAGAACCCCCAAAGTGCCAAGACAGAAAAGGAAGCGTGGCCTATCTGGGCAGACACATCATCACATCACGGAGGTGCAGAAACCTGCCTGAGGTTCCCAAAGTGACCTTTCTTCAGCCTGACTGAGAGAGAGGGTACTGCCTGGAGCTCAAAACCAAGGTCAGGGCTTGGAAGGAGAGCCTGAGCACAACCCTTCACAGAGCCTCTTCAAAACAGTCCGTGTAATTAAGGATGTACCCAGGTGACTGGCCAAGGCTACTATCTGTGAGGGTCAGTGTGAAATCATGGAGTCTGGGGGCTGGGAGGGGGCTGATTCATCCTGTGGAAGGGGCTGCTGGACATCCTGGAGGCTCAGGACTCGTACTGGGAGCTCAGAACCCAGCACTCAAAGCTTGGCAGGCAGCCCTGCCCCTCTCCCCAAACACTCCGGCTCCTAATGAGCTCATTAATTAGCTGCCAGGCAGGGCTCAACAGCTCTCCCCTGCTTCCATAAACCCTGTTTGTTTGATCGATTCCCTTCCGTCTCTGTGGCATTTGTTCCTGGGGACAGAACTGCCACTCCAGGTGTGGTGAGAAGAATGGTCCTCTCAAGCAAGACAGTCCTGTTCCTCAGCCAGGAGTGGTCTACACCAGATATTCTCTGTCTGATCCATGGACAGAAGCAGGAAGAGATGAGTCTAGGCTTGTATGACCCTGACCTCCACCCTTTGCCAGCACCGTCTCTTGGAACAGAGCCTCAGGGACATTTTTGCAACTGGCTCACTATGGGTGGTCACTGCGGCCTCTGCCTGCCCAGTGCCCAGGCCTGCCTGGTCCTCGGAGCCCCTGGGTGGGGCAGGAAGGTGAGCAAGCAGGTAACACCAGCGCTCCATCCCTCTCTCTGAGCCCAGAACAAATAGGTGCAGGGCGAGGCCCAAAGAGTGTGGCCCTGGCCCTGCAACCAAGGCTCTGCCCTTCCCGGAATCCCCCTGCTCCCATGAAGCCACAAACTGTTAAGCCACACACTGTCAAACCAGGCCCCCTCAACACTGGTCCTGGCTACCTGAGGCCATGCAAAGAACTTAGGCCTTGGCCTCTCCTGTGTGGGCTTGACTCTGAGTAGCCACGGCCAAGCACTGGGTGACAGAGCCCAATCCTGCAGTCCCACACCCCCTCCATCAAATGAGAGATGATGGTTCAGTCATAGGGCAAGAGCCCTCAGGGGATGAACTCTGGGGTGTAGAGGCCCCAACTGCCCTGAAGATAAGAGCCCCACCAGGCACCTCCCCGACTCCAGGCACAGACGCAGAGCACAGAGAGAGACATTTTATTGTGTAAAGTGGCCGATTGTACAGAGCGAAGATTGTACTGACACAGGTGGGGGCAGGGGAGACCTAGAGGCGGGAGCTGGGGATGGTAGAATGTGGTACCCCCACCACCCGGGCAGCAGACAGGGCAGGGGCACTGACATCCTTCAGGCCCCACCCGTCAGGCAATACCCACTGGCCCAAAGACGGTAACAGTGGACCCTCCATACCCTACTCCAGGTCCATAAAGCACACTCACCAGTCTTGCTTCATAAGCTGCCAGCCCCCAGCCTCCTTGGCCAGCAGCTCAGCCATTCTTTCCCCAAGGGCCCCGGCAGGGAAAGGGCCTAGAACAGTAGTCTCAGGCTAGGTAGCCAGGACTTCCTTCATCATGACCAGGTGCCCCAAGGGACAGCACATGGCTCCTTTTGGGGAAAACCTAATTAGGGGCACTGTGACCCGGCAGCTTCCAGGAGCAGCCGGCACAAGGGCAGGTCTTGAAGGAGGAGGCGGAGTGGGCAAGGGCTCTGGTGGGGCTTGTATCTCTGGAGACAAAAGCTCCTAGGAGAACAGTCTAGAGGGCAGAGGGGCACTTTTTTCTTTCTCCCTGTCATCTCCAGCCACAATGGGCTCCTGAGACCTGCCATCCAGGACCAACCACTTTACTTGCCCTGATAATGGTCCTTTAAAGCTCCAAACAATGGGTTGGGAAGCCTGGGGTCTAGGACCAGCCCTCCTGGTCCTATTCCCTCAGGTCTCCATCCTCACACCCGCTGGATCTCGAACAGCTTCACATCTGTGTCATACCAGACAGGTGGGTCCACATTCCTATAGAGGGAGTGGGCTGTCACCTTCTAGAAGGGGGTACCTCGGAGCAAAAGAGCTAGGTAGCTACAAGACTCCCCGCCCATCCTGGTGCCCCCACTCTGGGTGAAGAGTGCCCACCTTCAACCAGATTGGTTGGCCATTAGTCCCACTATGGGTGGGAAGAACCCAGAGCTAAATCCCTGGTGGGCATTCCTCAGGTAGACATCCATATCCACCCCAGGATGTAACTTCCCTACCCCTCACGGGGCCCACCTCAAATAGATGACACCCCACATGTAGGTGCGGAACCACATGGCAGTGCCTGAGTTCGCCTGGTACTTCCGGATAAGGATGGGGTGAGGTACAGGCAGAAGTCCCACTAGGGTACCATGCTGCAGGAACCTCAGAATCTCAGATTCGTCCGTCAGGCCCCTAGAGAAAAAGGTGGGGCCTCCAGCATGTTTGTGGAGACTGCACACAGGACCCTGAGGTGTGTGCTCCCCATCACATACACCCCAGTCTGGGCCGGCCCCTCTCCAGGACCACCTCCCCACCCAGCTTCCGGACTCACTTGTCAATACAGATCTTCTCCACCTGGGGGACCAACACCTGCAGCAGGCGCATGATGGTCTGCAGAGGCAGCTTTGACTTCCAGGACAAGATCTGCAAGAGCCACACCCAGAGCTATGGGACAAGCTTGACCTTGCCCCAGAGCCACAGGCTCCCCAGGACAGGAAGTGTGATACTTCGCGCAGCATGGCCTGCATCAAGCAGGGCCTGTGAAGGGGAACTGTTGCTAATGGGAAGAGCCCAGGCCATGCTGAGCAGTGCCACAGGCCAGATGCTGTGCCTCGTGCCTTCCGGAAGACTGTCCCCTTTAATCCTCACAATGGCTGGATGGCACGATCATAAGGATGTTTATTATCCCCATCCAGAGCAATCAGTGGGGCTCACAGGAAACACACAGGGAGTGGAAGCGATTTGGGGAGGAACACATGCAAGGGTGATTGACAAAGGAATCAGTCCTGGGCAACTGCTGAAAGGTCAGACAGGAGACGAGGTCACGCAACTTGGTCTTCTTACTCTAGTCCTGGGCTGGAACTCTGACAGACAGACCCTGTTCCACACCACCCGCCCAAACCCCAGTTTCCAGATCCTCCAGCGGTATCCCTCACCCAATCTGATGTTGGGCTCCACTGGCCACTGGCTGATGTGCTGGACAATCGCCGCTGATCTCTCCATGTTTGGCTGGGCTCCTGGTTCCCAGAAAGGAATGGAAGTGACCAGGGAAGGAATGGGGACAGGGTGCAGTCATAGAGCAACTATGTCTCCTCTGACCCCACAACAGGGAGGCTGGCTGCACCAGAGAGATGGGTCCAGTCCTGTACCCTTTGTCCTGGACCCAAGGCCCAGCCCAGCCCAGCCCAGCTCAGTGACAGGTTTAGGACCAGGGGCTGACAGAGAAGGCAGGGAAAGGCCGGCCCCAGATAAGGCTGATGGATGAGGAGCCCGAAGGTCACAGGGCTTTGCTGTGATCAGTAAACAAGACAGAGGTCTAGAGACGGCCCCCTCCCCCAGTCCAGCAGTGACAGCCCTGATTCCCTTGTTCTAATACTGCAGCTGCAGAGTGTCCTGGCCTTGCCCGCTCCTACACTTCCGGGTTTAAGAAGAAAAGCAACAAAGTGATGCTCAACACCATCCTCCGGGGTCCCCAGTACCTACCGCCTCAGACGGGCTGCCTTCTGCTGAGCTTGGCTGGGACTCAGGCTCTAGGGACCTCAAGGTTCCATCCTCTGAAACCTGGGATTTCTCTGTCAGCTTGTCAATGCCTGGGTGGGACACAGCAGGAAGAGGGGACATGCCACAGTGCCCCCTTCTGGCCGCAGAGGTAATGTGCTACCCTTTCACCGCAGAGGTGCTGTGTCTGCCCTTCCCTCCGAGAGCTACTTTCCGCTATGATCCCTGTCTATGTCCCTTCCCCAACCCCATCAAGCTTCCTTCCTAGGCCCACCCAATACTTCCACCTCCACATGCTGTGGGATTCCTTTTCCTCAGTTTCCTAGAAAGAATGACACTCCTGAGATCACACCCACTCCCTAACAATGCCATCTCCAACCAAGTCCCACATTCTCCTAGCCTGAAAGCATCCAGACCTGGGGTGGCCACCAGGCTGGTCTTAAGAGTGCCTGGTTCTGCAGGGGCGGCAGGGCGGGACCCCTCCATGGAAGCACCCTCCTGGGAGCCGGCGCGGGACAGGGGCTCCGGTGTCCTCCGCCGCCGCTGAAGGGCCTTGTGGATGGAGGGTGGGTCAGTGGGCAGGTTGGCCAGCTGGTGGAAGACTCCACGCTTACGGATGATGGCGTAGACCAGGTTGGAATTGCCTGCGGGAGGAACAAGTCCGTCCTCACTTTGCTTCCCACTCTACATCTGGGATGGCTTCCAGGACTAGAGGGCAGTTTGTGAGACAGGAAGAGCTCTTCCCCAGGGATAAGAACTGGTACAGGGTGTACAGAGCAGGACAGGCCCAGCTATATGGGTGTCAGTGGCCACAGTAGATATGGGAGACACCAAAAAGTTAGGCTGTAGAGGTGCCTGGTGTTAGGCTGTGGGGGATACCAAGAAGTTAGGTTGTTGGGGTGCCCAGAGGTTAGGCTCTAGGGAAACAGCTGAGCCCTGAGCTCCCTCGGTATCCTTCTTCTGGTATCTTGAAATCCTCTTGGAGCTCAGTACTAAGGGGGTTCATCTGGCATGGTGGGACAATCCGAGCCCTATTCTTTCTACACCAAGCCAACATTAACTCTGTAGCCCTCTCAGTAATCCATAGGGGAGTCCGGGAGGACACTGTTGTATGCGCCTGTCCTTCATCACCCACCTGCGAGTTCCCACAGCTATGGGGAAGGCGCAAAGGCTTCCCAGAGCCCTCAGTGTCCCCCATCTACCTCTCTAGTCCTGGGGTGCACCATGCTGCTTTTAGCTTAGCATCCACCCCAGGGCCCTTCTCACATTTCCCTTCCCATGCCATGTTTCTCTGCCTGCCTTACTCTCATTCATCACTCACACAGACCTCTAAATTTTACTTATTTTGGAAATAGTAATAATCGCTCATATTTGGGTTGCTAGATGCTGTGCCGAGTGCTTTTTCTGTGAATTACTAATCCCCCCAAAATCTCTAAGAGAGGGCCTTTTTGTGGTTTGTTTTTTGTTTTGTTTTGTTTTGTCTCAAAGACAGGGTTTCTCTGTGTAGCCCTGGCTGTCCTGGAACTCACTCTGTAAACCAAGCTGGCCTCGAACTCACAGAGATCCACCTGTCTCTGTCCCCCGAGTGCTGGGACTAAAGGTGTGCACTCTGCAAGAGGGACTTACAGCAGTATCATTATGAGCATCTTGCAGATGAGGGGACCAGGCTCGGAGCCTGACATACTCATGACCACAGAGCACATGGGTGGCAAGGTCTGGATTGGCACCTGTGGTACCAGTCAGGCACCTGCTGTGACAGCCAGCAGGCTCTTGTCACTTTGAGTTTTCCAGCTACCCAACTCTAAATGAACTCTTTAGGGTCCGGTTGTC